GGACATCCCAAGGCTCTGGACAGCGAAGGGTTTTGGATCTGAGCTTGGGGTCGGGATCGGAGAGGGTGGAGGGCAGTGGGGGAAGCAGGAAGAGGAGAGGACACGGGCTGCAGAGTTCTGGATGATCTGCAGCCTATGGAGGGAGGAGTTGGGGAGGCCAACAAGCATTGTTCCCCTCTCCCCGAGATGCATAGTCAAGTCTCGATATAATGAAAGCATGTATGAGGGTTTCGGGGGCCTGCGTTGTGAGACAGTGGTGGAGCCTGGCGATGTTGCGGAGGTGGGGAAGGCAGAAAGGGTCATGGTGTAGATGTGGGGTAGAAAGGATAGTTGAGGGTCAAACTGGATGCCAAGATTCCAGACTGGCTTAGCAAGGTTGAGAGTGTGCAACCATGGATGGTGATGATGTCAGCACTTGAGGTATGGAGGTGTTGACAGGAGTCAATCAGGAGAGCCTCGGACTTGTTGATGTTCAACTGAAGAAATTTAGCTCTCATCCAAGACTTGATGTCTGACAGATATTCTGTCAGGACAGCAGTGGTCCTGGAGTCGAGGGTGGAGGCAGAGAGGTAGAGTTGGGAGTCATCCGCATACATGTTGACCCCATGTCTGTGGATAATATCACCAAGAGGGAGCACAGAGTTATTGAAGAGGAGGGGACTAAGGACAGAGCCCTGAGGAACACTGCACGAGAAGATGCAGGGGCTAGAAGAGAAGCCGTTTGTGGAGATGACGTGGAGGCAGTGTGAGAGGTACGATTTGAACCAGTCAAGGACAGAGCTGTGAAGGTTGAGGTGGTGGATAAGGATAGAGTGGTCGACGCTGTCTAAGGCAGCAGAGAGGTCAACAAGGATGAGGAGGCAGAGGGAGCCCTGGTCGCAGATGAACAGAATATCATTTGTCACTTGACCAGGTCTGTTCCTGTGCTGTGGGCGGCACGGAAACCCGATTGGAGGGGTTCGAGAAGGGAGTGGTAGGAGAGGAAAGAGCGAAGCAACGACTCGTTCCAGGACCTGGGAGAGGAAAGGGAGGTTGGAGATGGGTCGGTAGTTTGAGAGTAGAGATGGGTCCAGAGAGGGTTTTTTTTAAGGGTAGGAGTGATGACGGTGTTTTTTAATAGGGTGGGAACTGTACCAGTGGACAGGGAGAGGTTTACAATGTCTGTGAGAAGAGGGCAAGGAGGTGGAGCTGGCGTGGAGTCCGATACCCCAAACGGCATCCAGATCTAACGCGGGGACTGTGCCGCGCGGAGCTAACGTGGCATTTGCTGCCTTGGCCATCGCTGACTCTCCTGGTGAACATCCAACCAGAGATCGGCTGCTGCGTGACGTCACATCCACTCAACAGCTTTGAATTTTTCAGCCTAGACTCACTGGGACTATAACACTGTCCCCCTCTCCCCATGATGACCCACACCAGCGGGCTAACTGCCGTGGTGGCAGGGTAGCTCTCACTCCCGGTCCCCCCTCGGCCTATCCCCATACTCCACTGGAACCTTCCCCTGCTTTGAGCACTTTATCCTTTATCACCCCTCCAACTTTTCCCTCAAAATTCTCCTTATCTATTGTCCTCTCAGCCACCTTCCTCCCCGACATCTCCACCTGCCTATCTTCTCTCTCCCTCTGCGCCGAACGCCTCCTCATTCAAGGCGACTTCAACCTTTACTTCACCCCCTCCTGCTTTACCTCTGCTGACTTCTCCTCCCTTATTTCCTCCCTCAACCTCTCCCTCCAAATCCACTTCACTCCCTCAATCTGGTGATCACTCAGGGCCTCACCGTCTCGGACCTCACCATCATTGACAAAGCGATCTTGGACCATCACTTCATCTCCCTTAACTCCTCAATCCCTCTCCCCACTGCCACCCAACCCACCTTCATCTCATACAACCCCTGGAAAAAAATCTCCCCACTTCCCTCTCGGCTGCCTTAAGAGTCATTTAAACTCCTTCCCTTCTGGGCTTCCTCCCTCAATTACCTATTCTACTCGGTCACTCTTCTCCACAGCTCCCTTTCCTCCACTCTCGATTCCCTCGCTCCCCTCTTTTCCCGAACCATTTCCTATTCACGTAAATCACTATGGTACACCAACCATCTCCGCTCCCTTGAAGCACAGTTGTGTGGAACTTAACGGTCCATCGGCAGATTTGGCTGGAGCTTAACAAATCCTACCACTCTGCTCTCCCCTACGCTTGGAGGCCAAGAACAACCCTAGGCTCCTCTTCTCCATCACCAACCGGCTCCTCCACCCACCCTCTCATGTCTCACCCATCCTCACCTCCAATGCCAACTGCAAGGTGATGCTGGAGTTCCTCGAATCCAAAGTCGAGGGGATCCGCTCAGCTGCCTCTGCCATTCCGTCTACTATACCCACCCCATCTCCCCCTCCCACCCCGGCCCCTACCCATCCATCCTTCCACGCCTCTCTCACCATCATGATAACTCGCATGAAACTGACCACCTGCTCCCTCGACCCCATTCCGACTCCACCACCAGCAAAGGTGGAGCAAATCACCCTACATTTATACACACGTATGCAAGGCAAATTTGTCTTCCAATGCGAATATAGAACACACCTATGTCAGGAGGATATCGCAAAACATTTCACAAGATTTATTGTAAAGTGTAGTGTGTATGTTTTGTAGGCAAACATGGTAGCCAATTTGTACACAGCAATGTCCCACAAATAGCCAGGAAGCAAGTGACTGATTGTATCTAGGATTGCTGGTGAGGACACCGCGAGAAACCTCGAAAAATGCAGGGCTCCCACAGCACTACATTGGAGTGTCAGTCTAGACTATGTGGCGCTTGAACCCAGCACCTCTGACTCAGAGGCAACCAATTGCTATCAATTGATCCAGGGTGACAATGTTGACTAGCAGGCACAGATGACACCGACAGGGTTGTATACACAATACCTAAAACATCTGGTCACTTTCAATATATAGTACTATCTGTAATGAACTCTGTTCACCCACAGTTGTATCTAACTGGGAAAGACTTGGCACTTCCTCATCGTTTGCCCCATCTAAAAACTGGGAGCTTCTCCCAATCAGGGACAATTACACAATTATGATACCAGGAATGGGGAACCTTAGCTATGAGGACAGGCTGGAGAAGTTAGGACTTTTCCCATTAGAGCAGAGAAGGTTACGCGGGGACCTGATAGAGGTGTTCAAGATCATGAAAGATTTCGACAGGCGAGATAGGGAAAAGCTGTTTCCGCTGGTAGGTGTGTCTGTGACTCGTGGTCACAGTCTTAAGATATCTACCAAAAGAAGCAGAGGGGAGGTTAGAAGAAATGTTTTCACTCAGCGAGTTGTTCCAATTTGGAATGATCTGCCTGAAAGGGCAGTGAAGTCCGATTCGATAACAGCTTTTAAGAGAGAACTGGACAGGTATCTGGGGAAGATGGGTTTGCAGGGTTATGGGGAGAAAGCTGGTGATTGGGGTTAGTGAAAGTGATTTGCTCTGTCAAAGAGCCGGCACTGACTCGATGGGCTGAATGGTCTCCTTCTGTGCCGTAATATTCTATGAATTGATCTAGAAGGAACGCATTGCTTGAAAGTGTGGTCGAGGCCGATTCGATAACAACTTTTAAAAACCCGGTGGACGGGTATTTGAGGACGACGGGTTTGCAGGGTTATGGGGAAAGGGCTGACATTAATTGCTCTATTCAAAGAGCTGGCACACTTGATGGGCCGAAGGGCCTCTTTTTGTGCTGTACGATTCTATGATTCTAAGGCACTCCCGTGTTCTAAATCCTTTACAATGTTCTGAGTAAGTGAGGAGCAGAAATTCCAACAGCTTCAGACTCTTTGAGATGTCTAGGAGGATTATTATTATTAACATACTCATGAACATCCAAGTACACATGCATACTATTGTACAAATATGCACAAATACAGATGTAAGATCACTTGCTCTTGCGCACACGCACACACAAATGAAAGGTTTGACACAAGTCTCTCTACAGTATCTCAGGGCAGCTTTACAGAGCAAGGGGGATGATGGACAACCAATCACTTTGTTTCATCAATAAGCTCAGGCTAATGGCCTTCATGAAGTTTATGAGCAGTTCATTGACAATCCCATAGTCTCCATATCTCGCTCACATCTGGTGGAAGGGTCCGTGCAGCTACCTCCAGTCCAAATTGAGCTTGGTTGTCTTGTCTACGATCAGCTGCAGGGACTTAAGATCCTGGGCAGAGCCCTGATTCAGGATCCACAAAATCTCCTTCTGGTTCAGCAGCTTAGGTTGCATTATCAGCCCAGCTTCCTGTTGTTCTCATTCTTCTTGCCCTCTTTTTCAGGATGTTTACATTCCTGGGCTTCACATTCTATGAGTTTCACAGGATAATTAAACGGCCTTTTTCATGGGCCTGGCCAATCAGATCCCCACAGCTTTGGGTCCACAGGACACCTGTCTTGTATGTGAACCCAATTTATACTTTATAATGGGATTTCCCTATATTACCTGCACGCTACCGCCTCATCTGCTGAGGTTCCTTCTTCCAACTATCGTGTCCATTTGTTAGCCTAGGATGATTTACCACTGACCACAAGCAATTGATTGATGAAACTAGTTGTCTTGTCTACAGTAACAGGAAACAGAAATCTGTGGCTTTTCCATTCTCATCAGGAGACGTTAATAGAAATGAAAAAGGATATAGAGTGAGAGGCAATAACCAAAGAAATGTCAGTGATAATCGTGTCACAAGGAAAGGAGTTGATTGATGTTGTGGCCAACACTGATAATGGATAAACTGGAACAGTTGATACCTGGCTGATATCAGAGAAGACATTCTCTTTTATAACTGCTGCACTGAGGTACGAGATCCCCTAGCTACACAACTTATTGCTGATAGAAGGTTACACAGAAACAGTTGGGTCTATCAAATAACTTTAATTGACATCATTTCATGATCAGCCAACAAGAGGCACAATCATAGCAAGGCTGGGTGAACTTGATCAACACGCATCCCTGCCGATTACTCCTGCTCAAGTTTAAAGTATATTCCAGACTTAATCAAGTGTTTTTTACATTCTAATAGTTGGCGAGTAGCACAATCTATACCTTGCAATTTACGATTGGATAGCAACATTCTCTCTCTGTAGAAATACAATAACACATAGAATAATGTCATAACATCGCAGCATCACTGGAGCCAATCCATTAAGTATGTTAATTCATTTGGTAGTTGAAACCTTTGAGTGCACTGCAATCATTTAGGTAGGAAGTTATGTTATGAAAGAACTGAAAGCATCCACTGTCAGAAATTCCAATTGAGTCTCAATTGAATTGCTCTGCATTTAGAAAGTGAATTTAGTGAATTTAAGAGCCAAAATTCTTCCCAACATCCCAAAGGAGTTAAGGTTCAGACTCAACTTAGTAAACAAAATATGCAGTATATGCAATATACATTAAAAGGGCCGCCTGCCTTTCCGTCACAGCACACTGAAAACCCAGAAGCATTACATCTTTGTGCCCCAACTGCTTTAGGAATTCAGTAATTTGCGTTGAAACTGATATAACTGTACTGCTAAGGCAAAGCACTCTGATCAGCACTTTTTAATTTCTTAATTGTTAAATCTGATCTATCAGTAACTATGGATTGACAGCAGCAGCAGTTTCTCCATCTTTGTTTTATTGGTCTTATCAATCTGTATTGAAATGTGTGAATTGCTCATTATTTAGTGCAAAGGGAGCACAGCAAAGTATTTAGAGTTCATTGCGAAAGCTTTGAGAATACACCAATCCGCACACCAGTCATGCAGTTAGACATTGCGAAGTTAGCAGCTTTCAGATCAGCAAAGCCTTCATTAATATAGGGGTTTCAGGAATTGGTCCTACCTGTTACGTTGACCTCAACGAGACCCGATCTTGTGCCGATCGCATTGGTAGCTTCACAGACATAAGTCCCCGCAAGGTCATAGGTCACAGTCCCTTTGAAGAACAGGGTGTTGTTCTGTATTTCCACATTTTCAGGCAATGACCCATTTAACCTATAAAACAAATAGGATTGTATTTTTAGCAAAGATGAGACATCATAGACCATTAGAACATAGGTTTTCACTTGCAGGTGCTGCTTTCAAACAGACATGGTTCAAATGGTCTGGTAGTGCACTGCCTCGCAAGCGAGAGACCTGGATTTGATTCCTGCAGAGCGAAATGTGGGCAAGTTTCCTTACTCCACACATAGATTCATAGAATATTACAGCATAGAAGGAGGTCATTCGGCCCATCGAGTCTGTCCCAGCTCTTTGACAGAGCGTCACTTTCACTAACCCCAATCACCAGCTTTCTCCCCATAACTCTGCAAACCCGTCTTCCCCAGATACTATCCAGTTCTCTCTTAAAAGCTGTTATTGAATCGGACTTCACTGCCCTTTCTGGCAGATCATTCCAAATTCCAATAACTCGCTGAGTGAAAACATTTCTTCTCACCTCCCCTCTGCTTCTTTTGGTAGATATCTTAAGACTGTGACCACGGGTCACAGACACACCTACCAACGGAAACAGCTTTTCCCTATCTCGCCTGTCGAAACCTTTCATGATCTTGAAGACCTCTATCAGGTCCCCGCGTAACCTTTTCTGCTCTAATGGGAAAAGTCCTAACTTCTCCACTGTCCTCATAGCTAAGGTTTCCCATTCCTGGTATCATTCTCATGAATCTCCTCTGCACCCTTTCCAGTGCCTTAATGTCCTTCCTGAAATATGGTGCCCAGAACTGGACGCAGACTTGCCTTTAACAAATCCATGTTGGGGGTCTCTAATTACTTTGTGTTCCTCTAAGTAGAGATTTATTTTGTCCCGGATTACGGTCTCCAGTAGCTTTCCTACTACCGAAGTTAGGCTGACTGGCCTGTAATTTCCGGGTTTGTCTTTCTGCCCCTTTTTGTAGAGTGGGATAACATTAGCCACTCTCCAGTCTCTTGGCACCACTCCTGTGTCCAATGAAGATTCAAATATAATGACCAAAGCCTCCGCTATTTGAACCTGTATCCCCACAGCACCTTGGGTGAAACCCATCTGGTCCTGGTGACTTATCAATTTTGAGCCCAGTCAATCTTTTCAGAATGTCCTCACTGTCTATAGTAATCTGATCTATTTCCTCTACCCTCTCATCCAATACTGTGGCATTTAGGGCATCCATTTCCATTGTGAAAACAGATGCAAAGTACTCGTTCAGTACATCAGCCACGCCCTCTGCCTCCACAACAAGATGGCCGTCATTGTCTTTGATTGGCCCCACCCTACCTTTAACTAACCTTTTTCCCTTTATGTGCTTGTAAAATATTTTAGGATTCCTCTTTATGTACGCTAACCTCTTCTCATGCGATCTTTTAGCCTGTCTTATCACTCGTTTAAGATCACCCCTGCATTCTCTATAATGCGCTTTGCTATCCTCAGTATCTTGCGTTTTCCAATTGTCGTACGCCGTCTTCTTCTTTTTCATCCTAGACAGAGTATCCCTGGCCATCCAGGCTGGCTTGGTTGTCACACATTTCCCTTTTGTGGGAATATATCTATTTAGACCTTGAGCTATCATATCTTTGAAGATTTCCCATTGCTCATGAGTCGTTTTATCTGCTAGTCTTACTTGCCAGTCCACCAACTCTAGGTCCCTCTTTAGCCCATCAAAATTAGCTCTTTTCCAGTCAAGCATTTTCACCCTTGACTGTACTTTGTCCTGTTCATGAGTAATCTAAATCTAATAATATTATGGTCACTGTTACCTAGATGCTCCCCTACCGAAACCTGTTCAACCTGACCTATTTCATTCCCCAGGACTAGATCCAGCAATGCTTCCTTCCTCGTAGGACTGGAGAGATACTGCTCAAGAAAATTTTTCAGTACACAGTTTATGAATCTTTCTCCTGCCTTGCCCTTAACGCTGCTATTTTGCCAGTCTATATTGGGATAATTGAAATCCCCCATTATGACAACTCTGTTCGCCCAACATCTGTCCGTGATCTGGTTGCAGATCTGCTCCTCTATCTCCTTCCCGCTGTGTGGTGGTCTATAGTAAACCCCTATCAGTGTAACCACTCCTTTCTTATTTATCTCTAACCAGATGGATTCTGTTGTCGGGCCCTCCAGAGCCTCGTTCCTTTCTACACAGCTATAATTTTATCCTTAACTAATACTGCCAACCCTCCTCCTTTTCTTCCTTCTCTATCCTTCCTGAACACATTATATCCTGGAATATTTAACTCCCATTCCTGTCCTGGTTTGAGCCATGTCTCGGTTACTGCCACCACATTGTAATCCCCTACGGCCAGTTGAACCTGCAGCTCATCAACCTTATTCCCTAAGCTACGTGCATTTAGGTACATGCATTTGAGGAAATTGTCCGCTTGTACCTGCTCTACACTTCCCACTTGTCTTTTTCCTCTAATCTCTAATCCATTGTTTATCCTGGGATACCCATCCCCCCTCGCCACTAGTTTAAATCCGCCCATTTCTGTTTACCTAGCAGTAATAATAATAATCCTTGCATTTGATATAGCGCTTTTCACGTCTTCTAGACGTCCCGAAGCGCTTCACAGAATATACTGTAAAGTGAATTGACTGTATATTTGTGAGCGAACGCGGCAGCCAATTGCGCACAGCAATGTCCCACAAACAGTCGTGGATTGAAAATGACCAATTTATTGTCTTGTTTTTTTGGAGGGATTATTATTAGGCTCTGTGTGGAGTAAGGAAACTTGCCCAAGGTTTCGCCCTCTGCCTGGAATTGAACTCAGGTCTCTCGCTTGCAAAGCGAGTGCTCTAACCACTGAGCTACAGGACTCCACGTAAGTAGGAACCCGGTTGTTGGTTGAATGGCGGGGTTCCTTTTCTGGGAGTAATAATTACTTCCTTCAAAAAAAATTGGTCACTTCAATCCATGACTGTTTGTGGGACACTACTGTGTGCGCAATTGGCTGCCGCGTTTCGCCTACAAAATAATATTAATAATTGTACATGAAGGGAAAAGAGGTTGAGGCCTATGAGGACAGCATCCAATTACAGAAATGTTCAAGTGATAGAGAATATTCACTCCATCACAGTATAACTACAACATATAAATGGAAGCAGGAGGATGGGAAATACGGGGTAAGAGCATAGTTGAATTGGCAATTTAATTAATGGTTAATATCAATAGATTGTCTCATCTATTGTTGGATTAGTTGCTGTAGTGAAAATGGCATGGAAGGTAGCATTACCTGGACACTATTAGTATATTCAAAAGTTTGCCAGAAACAACCATTTGGAAACAATTTAGGCTCACCAGGAACAGGTTCAAACGGTTAACCGCAAGTATATCCCAATGTACCACGTGTGTTATCTTCCCAGCTCACACTGAATCCATGTCGACTTGGGACCCAATAAATTCTCAGAATTCACAATATGAGGAGCTAGGGAACAGATAAAACTTTCCTGCTCCTGTCCCAGACATAATCCATCCGTTAATCACAATTCCTGGCAAATCAGTTTTATTAAGACACTCAAAATACTGGATATTGTTAAACACTGATTGTCCAATGCCTTGGGACGTCCTCCTGACATGAAAGGCACTATATAAATGTAATTTTGTTGTTGTTTTTACCTGAAGGTTAAAGCATTTTTCCTTTAACACTGTCATATTCTTTGTTTTGGAAGTAACTAAATTGGAGAGAGTTTGTTGCTGATTATGGAGTCCTGTAGCTCAGTGGTTAGAGCACTCGCCTTGCAAGCGAGAGACCTGAGATCAATTCCTGGCAGAGGGCGAAACCTTGGGCAAGTTTCCTTACTCCACACAGAGCCTAATAATAATCCCTCCAAAACCAAAAACAATAATAAATTGGTTATTTTCAATCGACTACTGTTTGTGGGACACTGCTGTGCGCAATTGGCTGCCGCGTTTTGAACTTATATAGCAACTTTACATAGGAAAATATCTCAAAGCAATTTACAGAGACTGTGTAGATCAACATACAAGGGTGGGAAGGAAGAGGACGTAGGCTGAGATAGATGCCTAAAAGCAGTCAAAGAGGCAAGTTGTAAAGGCGTTTTGAAAGCAGTGGAAAGGGTGCAAAGATTTTGGGAGGGGATATGGTGGTTGAAGCTCAGCCACTGGAAATGGGGTGTTGGTGAGAAGGTAGGGGATGTGCAGCAGGCCTGAATTTGCACAATAGGAGTGGAAGATTGCAGGGGTAGGGTGGACAAGAGCATGAAAGAATGAGGAAGCTGATCAGTTTGTGCGCGTGTGTGTGTGTGGGTGGGGGGTGGAGAGAGAGGAAGCTACCAGAGCCTAGAATGGAGATGAAAACAAGGAGTCGTGCAAGGCCAATGTTTGAGAATTCTAATCTTGAGAAGACAAAGGGGTGAACAGATCTCCAATAATTAGAAACAAAGTTGAGAGATATTCTGGAGGGGGAGAAATGTCAAAGATTTAGGGTTTCAAAGAGGGCTGAGAATCAATACAGTTTGTCAAGGTTGTGCACTGACTCAGGGGGGATGGAAGGTGAAACTTAAGTCCTCGTGTGTTAATAAGTGATGTATTAATACTAGGCTATGTTTGGGCACGATGATGCCTCTATCAGCAGTTAACAAACACCAAATAGTTCTATGATTCTACTCAATGACCTGAGCAGCCAACTTCTCTCACTAAGGGGTTGTATGATGAAGCAACAGGTTTCTTTTTGGTAAACAGTGAAACCGCTTTGAAACCAAATATTGCTCAAATGAAACCAATGTAGTGAGTGTAAGGTATCATTGGTCTGCTGGGTGACTCATCATCATAAACATGCAAGTCTGAGCTTCTCTGCTTCAGTCATCTGAGACAGTTCTGCGGAGGCACAAAAGACTCATCCAGTCATTTCATTTACAATAGAAACCCGGTTTGCGGTCACCTCAGTAATCCAGTCACCTCACAATTGTGGACACATCTTCACAGTCTCTTTCACTGTCAATGTTAAAAGACAGACTGTCTGTCTGCTTCAGTAAACCCAGCACCTCACTGTTCAGGACAATGGTCATCGATTGCGGCCACTAAAGCGCCTTCCTCCACTTCAAACGCAGTACAAACACCCCCCTCCACTTCTAACCTGCACACAGTGCACTAGGCCTTGGGCTTCTCGCGCGGTTTCCTGTGGGGGGAGTGGACTCTAGTCAAGCATGCATGGCGCGGGGAGTGTTGGGATCGCGGAAGCGGCGGGAGTGGGAAATCAACTTCACCCGGGGCCTAACCTGAGCTCCTGCGGACAATTCTTGGTAGTTGCTGTAAACACGCCACCACAGAAGGAGTTGTCCTTACGTGAGAGAGTGGACTTAATCAAAAGCAGTGAGGGCAAAAGTCATAGACCAGAAGCTGTGATCTATGGCACTGGCAGAACACAAGTTGGATGCATTCTCAAAAGGACAGCTTTTGTTTTAAATGAGACAATGCCTTTATTTTAATGAGACTGCAAAGTATGGTATAAATGCAATCTTGTTGTTGTTGTTGAATGTTGATCACCCTTGCCCATTACCAATGCCCTTAACATTACATCAGTGACCTGAATCACCCGACCCGTTTCAATAATTAGGTCAATTCACTAAGTAAGTCACTTTTGCCCAGTCACTTGAGTGACCGAGTGAAGTTCTACTGTACTATACTGAACAATCATGTGAAGTCCTGTAGCTTAGTGGTTAGAGCATTCCCCTCGCAAGTGAGAGGACCTGGGTTCGATTCACGGCAGGGCGAAATGTTGGGCAAGTTTCCTTACTCCACATGGCTCTGTTTACCTAGCAGTAAGTTGTTAAGACAATTGGCAGATCATTTCCCAAATTAAAAAAAAAATGTGGTCACTGCATCCATGACCATTTGTGGGACACTGCTTTGGGCAATTGGCTGGCACGTTTCGCCCACAAAATATATAGTCAATTCACTTTACAGTATATTCTCTGAAGGGTTTTGAGACATCTTGAAGACGTGACAAGGCGCTATATCGAATGTAAGGATTATTATATTTATATTATGCTGATGTGTCACTTGATTGAGTTTTTCGATGATATAACGGAGAGGATTGATGAAGGTAGTGCAGTTGATTTTGTGTATATGGACTTTCAGAAGGCATTTGATAAGATACCACATTTTTAGAAAAATTGAAGTCCACGGTATTTAATGAGAGAGTGGCAGCAAAGATACAAAATTGGCTGGGAGATAGAAAGCAAGGGGTAGTGGTGAATGTTTTTCAGACTGTAGGGAAGTATACAATGGTGTCCCCTGGGGTTGATATTAGGACCACTGTTCCTTTTGATATATGTGATTGACTTGGATATAAAGAGCAAAATTTTAAAGTTGCCAGATGACACAAAACTTGGGAACGTGGTAAACCGTGAGGAGGGTGGTAGCAGATTGCAGGACAAGGACAGACTGGTGAAATGGGCAGTACATAACAGATGAAGTTTAATGCAGTGAAGTGTGAGGTGATGCATTTTGGGAGGAAAAATGAGGAGGTAATATACAATAAATGGTAGTTTTAAAGGGGATTCAGGAGCACAGAGACCTGGGGGTTCACGTATACAGGTCTTTGAAGGTGGCAGGACAGATTGATAGAGCTATTTAAAAAGCATATGGGATCCTTGACTTTATAAATAGAGGCACAGAGCAAGTTTTATAAGCTGTGTTAGATCTCAGCTGGAGTAATTGTGGGCACCACACTTTAGGAAGGATATCAAGGCCTTGGAAAGGGTGCAGAGGAGATTTATCGGAATGATGCCAGGGATGAGGGACTTCAGTTATGTGGAGAGACTGGAGAAGCTGGGATTGTTCTCCTTAGGGCAGATAAAGCTAAGGGGAGATTTAATAGGATTATTCTCCTTGGAGCAGAGAAGAGGAGACTTAATAGAAGTTTTCAAAATTATGAGGGGATTCAATAGGGTGACCAAGGAGAAACTATTTCCACTAGCGAGTGGGTCGGTAACCCGAGGACACTGATTTAAAATAGTTGTTAAAAGAAACAGAGGGGAGGTGAGAATAAATTTTTTCACACAGCAAATTGTTCAGATCTGGAATGCATTGCCTGAAAGGGTGGTGGAAGCCGATTTGATAACAACAACTTTTAACGAGAAGTAGATAATTATTTGGGGAGGACAAGTTTGCAGGACTATGGGGACAGCGCGGAGGAGTGGATTGAATTGGATAGCTCTTTTCAAAGAGCCGGCACAGACATGGTGGGGCCGAATGGCTTCCTTCTGTGCTGTATGATTCTATGATAACAGAGGTGTTCAAAATTAGGAGGGGTTTTGATAAGAGTACATAGGAAATAACTGTTTCCACTGACTGGTGGGTCAGTAACATAGACTTAAGATAATTAGCAAAAGAACCAGAGAAGAGATAAGGAGTTTTTTTTAAACTCAGAGTTGTTAGGGTCTGGAATGCACTGCCTAAAAGAATGGTGGAAACAGATTCAATAACAACTTCCAAAGGGGAATTAGATAGGTACTTGAAAAGGAAACATTTGCAGGGGTATAGGGAAAGAGTGGGAAGTGGGACTGACTGGGTAGCTCTTCCAAAGAATGGCCTCCTTCTGTGCTGTAATATTCTATGATACAAAAAGCACATCAGCCATCTTTGGGTGCATGCTCCACCTCATTGCATTGCTACTAATTCTCACTGTTTGCCCACAGTGTGCATGCTGCTGCCACTGACCACACACTTTAGTCTAGCAATGAGATGGACCAAACAAATACTTCAAGCATCAACAATGAAAATTAAGTGATTCAGTTCCAAAGAACTCCTCTTAATTCATAACCTCAATGCATAGGAGCTCAGTCTGATGGAAGCTAGAGTGTAAGAACACAGCATACATCAGCAAACACGATACAGATTAGGTTTGGGGCCCAGCAACACTTGGGAATGTTGCAAATGACAGCAATTGTGAACACTAATACTGCCAACAAGCCTGGGTCAACTGCTGATTAAAACACTATCTTTATTCCACAATAATCATAAGGGTAAATAATATGTTACTTCTGAATGTTCAATTAGGGACTGAGGGGTGTCATCAGTTACAACACTGCAATTTCATTGCTGGAATCTGGGCCTAATCCAGACAGATTCTCTGACAGCTAATGGTATGAACTGAAATGTGCTTGAGGATCCTCAACAGATTTACTAGTGGATTCCAATCATTGTAAATCAGCAGTCTCAGTGGGAGAACATACAAGGACAGCTGCTAATGAAACTCATGCTGGTGCAGCAGGAAGTATCTTCAGCTCTATTCAGAATGAAGCACGAAGCTGGAACTAGAACATAATTCATCTGGATCCAGCTGAAATGTTCAAAAATAATGCACATTTAGCCATGCAATGTATTAGTTCAGTTGAAAATTGACAGCATTCATCACACCATAGTGGGAAGATTGGAATGACAAGGTGTTTAGGGATTAAACTTTAACCATCTGGTGAGGACAAGAGTGGCTGTAAAACAATTATTCTAATCACTTAGAAATATAGCTACTCTTTGTAAAGTGATGTATAATTAAACATATATATAATTAAAGCAGAAGATGCAATGGGTCAGGAGTACTTACATCCTCCAGGTGTAAGCGGTGGGAGGTGGGTTTCCATCAGCTCTGCACATTAATCGCACATCTTCTCTCTTCAGATACCAGTTCCCATCAAATCCTTCCACTGTAACCTCAGGCTCGTCTGTGTGGACAAATAACTTCACTAAACAGGGCTCACAATAAGCAGTTTTACCTAGGCTTTCAATTAGTCATTTATAAAACACTGGATACATACGTTAATTTATATATTTGTTCTTTATTTAACGTGTCCAAGACATTAAAAATTAACTTCATTCTTCTGCTGTTGTGAAGTAACACTCAAAAGTGTCCCTGATAATCTAGTTATTAAAGACACACAGACAATGTTTCCCTTAGAGCAAGGTAGAGGTTTGCATTACAGAATTCTGGCAGGGAATGGGTTTCTGTGGTTTCTCTTGCAGCCAGTCGTATAATAATAATAATAATAATCCTTGCATTTGATATAGCGCTTTTCACGTCGGGAGGACGTCCCAAAGCGCTTCACAGAACACACTGTAAAGTGAATTGACTGTATATTTGTGGGCGAACGCAGCAGCCAATTGCGCACAGCAATGTCCCACAAACAGTCGTAGATTGAAAATGACCAATTTAATTATTGTTTTTAGTTTTGGAGGGATTATTATTAGGTGTATGGAGTAAGGAAACTTGCCCAAGGTTTCGCCCTCTGCCTGGAATTGAACTCAGGTCTCTCACTTGCAAAGCGAGTGCTCTAACCACTGAGCTACAGGACTCCACGAATACCAAGGATGTGGGTGCAGATTACAGATCATAATAGCATTGGCTATGGACGGGATCACTGGGATAGTAAGACCTGTGCATTAGTCACATTAAACATCAACATGATCTAGCTTCAGCAAACATAACAGTAGTAACTACAAAACAATACTCACATTGTACACTTAACATCAGCATCTTGGTGATCCGCTCAGCTTGATAATTCACGACACAAGTCAGTTGTTGCTTGTGAACTCCTCTGGATGGAACCACGAGGAACTGGCTGGTTACAGTGATGGTGCCGTTTTGGTTTCGAGTCTCTTTAACAATCTTCTCTCCGTTAACTTTGGTGTCCCAAGTGATGATGCCTGGTGGTTTCCCATTGGCTGATGTACAAGTTGCTACAACAATCTTTCCCACTTGACCAGCTCTTGCTATAATGGGGTTTGGACTAAGTTCAGCTGAATTGACTGGTTGAGCTATAAAGAAATTAGAAAACGATTACTGAAAACACAATTGCAAACTAAAAAGATAGATTGCTTTCTGCAGACTAACTTTACTAGCTAGGTGACCCGACTGTACAGCGCCTTGGGACGTCCTCCCGACGTGAAAGGCGCTCAATAAATGGAATCTTGTTGTTGTTGTTGTAGTAGGTGTATAGCCACTTAATCTCACATTTGTACATGTATTTAGTCATAAATGGCAGCTAGTACTGGAATGCTATCCCAGGTAACATCTCCTCTCACATTCAAACATCATTTATAATAATAATAATCCTTATTATAGTAACTAAAGTGCCTCCCAACATCAAATATTTACTTATGAATATGTGCCTTGCATTTGCAAAATAGCTATCTAAGCATTCTCATAAAGGAACGAAAAATATTATTTGCACAATGAATCCTAAAACATCATGGCCATTTGTGAGACATTGCTGTGCACAAATTGGCTGCCACATTTGTCTACAAACAGTCATTATATTTCAGAATGTCATGTGAAGCACTTTGAAAGATTCCACAGTATAATAATAATAATAATCCTTGCATTTGATATAGCGCTTTTCACGTCGGGAGGACGTCCCAAAGCGCTTCACAGAACACACTGTAAAGTGAATTGACTGTATATTTGTGGGCGAACGCGGCAGCCAATTGCGCACAGCAATGTCCCACAAACAGTCATAGATTGAAAGTGACCAATTTTGTATTGTTTTTGGTTTTGGAGGGATTATTATTAGGCTCTGTGTGGAGTAAGGAAACTTGCCCAAGGTTTCGCCCTCTGCCTGGAATTAAACTCAGGTCTCTCACTTGCAAAGCGAGTGCTCTAACCACTGAGCTATAGGACTCCATAAGGCACTTATGCAAGGATTATTAAGTTGGAAAAAACCTGGTGCATTTGATTAAGGGTCCTAATCATGTTTGTCAGCCAAAGCGATCGATGAGTGAACAAGCAGTGAGTTAAGCAGGGATTTTCAGTTTTGAAATAAGATTAGCGGATCTTGAAAAATTACTGATATTCTATCTAACCTTTCCTGTGTGTACTTGTTTGGAATTATGTTGTGTCTTATTTACTTGCACATAGACCTCCTCTCATACAGCATACAGCTGTTGCAGCTTTAATAATGATCAGTGTGGCCTAATTTCAGTGGTCTCTCTTCTATATTATTCAGATGTACATCAAGATCATTTGCAAACAGCTTATAGTGATTTGCTTTTGTTAATAGCCAACAATTAAACATGAAGTAGTTTTTGAATGTCTAATTGTGCATAAAACTAACAAACCATAAATTACATATTTCGTACTGCTCATGTCCTGTGTTTATTCATGTACAGAGAGACAGCACAGATCACTGCACACAATCGATTACAAAAACACCTGATCTTGGCATTTCTGTATCTCATGAGAACCCGTAAGCATGACAAAATAATTCTGCACAGCAAACATCAAAATGCATTCAGGAGCTCAGGTCAGGTGTTGAATTAATGGGCATTCATTGGTGTCCATAGACCCTCTCAGTGTGTCATATGTGCATCTTGTTTGCCCATATGTGTGCACTTATATATTTCTGTATCTAGTTATCCATGTGAGTGCATGGCTATTTCATACTTTCCTCATGCACACTTGTTCCTCACTGCCTCTGTTGGTTGAACATTCTAGATCAACTAGATCTGAAATGTTTTAGTCATATGAAGCATTTTTACAAGGGTGAACATATTTTGGATGACAAACAATTCTGTCAGGCAGAATTTGGGTATTTGTGTGGTTCTCGACCAGAAGCAGTATTTCTCAAAGGAATGTTTTATTACTTAAAATGTCAGCATCGTAGCTGTAGACAGTTGCAATTCTTAGGACTTCATGATGAAATGGGCTGTTCTAAACCAAACGTAATTCAGAGAGAAATGTTTTCAATTTCAATAAATGGATTTATAAAATGTGTTCACTGTTGAGCAATTTACCATATTCGGACAACTCTTGGATGCTGATGCAGCCACAAAATATTAAAATGTCAGCCAAGAATAATCCAAACGTGTACTAAAACATTTCCCTGGGGCACAATGGGGCTACATAGAATCATAGACTCATAGAATCGTATAGCACAAAAAGAGGCCATTCGGCTCATCGAGTCTGTGCCGGCTCTTTGAGAAGAGACATTGATTAACTCTGGACATTTGGGGATGATTTTCCACTTCATCTCCCAAGTTACCTTTAGAAACAAAGCACAAAATTATTATATTTACTGTATCGCTTAGTGTCCAGAAAAACTAATTACTATTAATGTGCACCTCTGCCGGTGATATTAACTCATTAGTACCGGAGGCATCACCCATGTCCTCTTTTACTCTGAGTTATTAAGACTTGTGCACAGGCATCCAAAACAGCACTTACCAAAGACTGTGAGGTTAAGCTGGCTTTCACGGTTTCCTGTTGGGAAGGTTGCAAACTCGCAGATATAGACGCCTTCATCCTCTAATTCCAAGCTCCACAGTCGGATTGTGGCATCGTCCAAAGATGGATTTTTGAAGGAGACTCGATCTTTGTACGGTGGAAGGACAGAGACTCCCATATGTGGATTAAAGATAGCAATATTCTGCTTGGATCCATTTGTTGCTTTCTGCCATGTGACCTGAGTTATTTTGATGTTGGGGTTGTTGTTCACAAATGTACAGTGCAAAACCACTTCAGTTCCAATAAAACCAGACACGCTATCATCCACTGTGACCATCTGAGCCTGGAAAACTAAAACAAAATATTGCCATCAGAAATGAAGACAGACGATATGAATATGGATCACCTGTGCATGTACAGCCACAACTATTGCATTCATGAAAGGGCGCTGGTCAGAAAACTAAACAAGTCAAAATAATAATAATCCTTGCATTTCATATAGCGCCTTATCATGTCTTAGAGACGTCTCGAAGTGCTTCACAGAATATACTGTAACGTGAACTGATTGTATATTTTTTGGGTGAAATGTGGCAGCCAATTGTGCACAACCGGGTCCCACAAACAGTCGAGGATTGAATGACCAAATTATTTTTATTTATTTTGAAGGAACTATTATGCCCGGAAAAGTGATCCGCCAATTGACTAACAACCGGGTTCTTACTTACTGCTAGGTAAGTAGAGGCGTGTGGAGTAAGAAAACTTGCCCAATGTTTCGCCCTGCCGGGAATCAAACCCAGGTCCTTTGTTTGCTAGGCGGGTCCTCTAACCACGAAGCTACAGGACTCCTCAACTGATTGACTGATGAGAGTTCATACAAACGTGAATGCCAACCATGATTTCACCTATGTAAACTCAGATTCTGACCAACACAATTTCATTTATATACAACAAAGCTCCTGGGTTGCATTAGTAGCTCTCAAGCTACCTCTGTGTCTGGTAACAAAAAAGAATACTGACATGAACACATACACTTTGGGACTTTATTAAAATTAATCTATTCCCAGAAATATATGGCTCCAGGAGATGGAGGTAATTTTCATTACTTTTCATACAGATAGTTTCCTGATTACAATGTATAGAGAGAGACCCTCCCAATGGTGGACCTGGCCTCTTGCATATGCTTAAATAATTACTGGACAAACATCAATTTTCCAGATCAATTACATGGGCTAAGGCTGCAGAACATCCCAGGTTGATCATTGTTTGCAAAGAAAATTCCAAACATTAGGTTCAGAACTAAAGTCCATAGACACAAACACAATCTGCAAGATTACTTTGTGCCCGTATCGTATACTGTGATCTAATTATATTGTGTTCACCAATGAAATAATTAGGAGAATACAGAAGTCCCAGAACAATGGTCACAAATGAGGCATTTGTGGTTTTTAGAATATTTTAATAAAATATTACATTTGTTCAAAATACAATGTAAGCTTTGCAACACTGATAAACAACACTATTATTCTTGAATTAAATATTGCTGAATCTTGCATGAATCATTGAAATTGGGAGAAATTTACACTATACCTTTGTACCTCATCTATAGAACTCTTGGTCAAGTGTATGGGTGAGGGGGCTACTTGTTTTTGTGCAGCAGAATAATTCATCCTTTCGAGTACAAATGGCTCTTCGTGCTTTTCCAAAACACTCATTTTCTGTCAACTACCATTGCAAATTGCCAATAGGTCTATTCTAAATCAAGTCTTTGGTGTAAAAAAAATCAAAATATCTAAACATGAGGATGAAAATATAAGGCAATTTGTGAGAGGAAACGTCAGCACAAAGAGAATTTCAGGCTGTATTAGTTGGGAGTTGGGGAGTTCCTGTTGTAGACTTCTGTGACTCTGTGTAGTGGCATTGTACTTGTGTAAAGTTGAAGGATCAGATGAGCAAGAACCAACTGTGATTCTGCATTTTTACAACAATGTCATACTATTTATTTTTGAGAAAGCTAGTTTGCTGCCCACCCTAAAAATGTAATTCATTTACATTTAATAAAATTACATTTGTAAAGCGCCTTTCACATTGGGAGGACGTCCCAAGTTGCTGGACAGTCAGGGATTTGGACCTGAGCAGGGGAGTTGGGATCAGGGAGGGTGGAGGGCAGCCGAAGGTGTGGTTGAAGAGGAGGGTTCTTAGACGTGCCTTGAAGGAGGCAAGAGAGGGAGCGAGACGAAGGGACTGTGGGAAGGAGTTCCAAAAGGTAGGGGCAGAGAGGCTGAAGGCCATTAGGTCGCTCCGAAGGGCAGGGGCAGAGAGTTTGAAGGCCAACGATGGTGGGGCAGGTCGGGCAGAGGACATGGAGCAGGCGAGTTCGCATTTACTCACAACTTTCAGGAGTGCAAGAGGCAAATGCACCAGTCCTTCAAAATACATGAAAATCCCTGACTAGATTAGACTTCACAATAAAGTTAATAACAAATATTCAATTCCACATTTCTAGTGACATAATGTTTCAAATGAAACAGATATTCACCTTAACGATTCAGTCAAAAAGCTCTCTGCTGGAGGATAAATGTGACATTGCAAGCACAGCCCCAACTCTTCGCAGCAATAGACTTAAGAGCAGTCTATTTATGCAATGAAGTTTATTCCTCATGTAGCCATTAAGGTTGACAACTTTCAACAATGATCATTGGTATGAAGCGACACTATTGTGCCCCAACAGCATCACCTTTCTTATTTATGTCCTTTCTCCTTTCCTGCCTCCCTCATTGAATGTGATTTTGTTGCCAGCTGTGCCCACAGGGAACATTTCATTGGTTTTCAGTCATTCTGTTAAAGGTTAATAAGACAGTGTTTTGTATGATTCTGTTTACTCACTTCAATCTTGAGTTTTAAATTATTCATGGCAGCAAATTTACAAATTATTTATATCAGGAAATGTTGCTATGCAACAGGTGGAAAGAGAAACTATCAGGTCTCAGTGTTCCAGATGTAGGAGCCAGCAATAGTTCCATCAATCTCCATCACTTCCCTCCTTTCTATTTCATCAGCAAAGTGCCTTTTAAACATGGGTCCCTTTTCAAGAATATTTAGGACAACCACTAGTACCTCCTTCTTTAAAAAAAGATTTGTTGGGTGTCTAACACACATGCAAATCCACCATGATGCTTTAGAGTATCCAAACCAACAACAACAACAAGATTACATTTGTATAGCGCCTTTCACGTCGGGAGGACATCCCAAGGTGCTGGATAGTGTACAGTATTTCAGACCCGAGCTGGGATCAGGGGGCGGGGAGAAGTGGGGTCACCAATGGCATGGTCGAAGAGGAGGGTCTTGAGGCGGGACTTGAAGGAGGCGAAGGAGGGGGTGAGGTGGAATGACTGGGGGCTGGATTTCCAGAGGTTGGGGGCAGAGTGACTGAAGGCTCTCCCGCCAATGGTGGGGCGGGTGGGAAGGGGGATGTAGAACAGGCTGGAGCCGGCTGAGCGGAGGGAGTGGGAGGGTTGGTAGCGGGTTAGGAGATCGCAGAGATAAGGTGGGGCTAGGCCATGGAGGGCTTTGTATGTGAAACCAGGATCTTGAATTGGATCCTCTGAAGGATAGGGAGCCAGTGGCTCAGACGAGAATGGGGGCGATTACCTAGCTGAGGGGTGAGGTATTGGCGGAGTCGGGCAAACAGAGTTCCACATATGTATGCCACCTACATATGCAAATCTCCCTGTGTTTGGAATGGAATACATACCCCAGAGAGACGCTTACCTAATTTTGGAAAGTATTAAGCACAGATTAGCAAGAGCTAAGGTATGAGGACCCCAGAATGTGTGTTGGGGTAACTTATGGAATTTAACCAACTCAGGTACAAGAGCTTTAGCTCATCAGCCCACCTGTGCTCACAAAATAACCACCTTCACTGGTCAAAGTACCCTACAAACTACATTTTCTTCCCAGATCACAATAGCAATCATAGGTAGGATATAGAAAAACATCTTTATCAATATATTTTCCCCTCCTTTCCTGGCTCATGCTTGAAAGCAATTATACAGGAACCTTTACTGTCACCATTCTAGATGAACATATGAGCCTAACTGGCAAGCGTTTGGCAGCAGTGAGATAATGAGGAATTACAGCCAAATCAAATCTTGTCCTACCCCAACAGCCACACATGCACACAATTTCTACCAAGAGTCAATGGATAGAGATCAGAAGCAAATGTTGCTCAGTTGGTAGCACTCTGACCTCCGAGTCAGAAAGCTGTGGGTCCAAGCCCTATGTCTTTGATTTGTTCTTGCAGAACTGAATGATCTCTACATGTGCAAACTGCCAGTAGATTTTGTATAACTGGATGTTGTCAAGGACCATGTTATTCTCTTCCCACTAGTTACTGTATTTTAATGAAAAATGTACACAGCAGTGAGCATTTCAATTTTTTTATTTTCACCCCAAATAATGGAAGTTTTCCCATGAATAAGCACGGATAACAAGGATACAGGTGTCTTTTCATACACAAGACAATATGTCCTTACATAGCACTTAATTCTATCTACCTGACATCTTTATCAGTTTACAATTATCCTTGCATTTAATACAGCACCTCATTACGTTGTCTTGCTGGGAGAATATTTCAAAATACTTTGAGTTTACTATAATGTGTAATGGTTACATTTTGTAGGTGAATGCAGCCAACTTGTGCACAGCAATGTCCCACGAAGGCCTGTGAAGTCAATGCGCAATTTTAGAACCACAGAAATTTACAGCACAGAAGGCCAAACGGCCTATCGGGTCTGTGCCAACTCCCTCAACAGCTCATTTCCCTGCCCTTTCCCCATACGCCATGTAGTTATTTTCTTTTTAAGTTATTTGTCCAGCTCCCTCTTGAAGGCTAATATGGATTCTGCCTTAACCACTGCTCCAAACAGGGTATTCCATATCCTAACTACTCTGTGCATGAAAACATTTGTTCGCTTACTAACTATGTTTCTATAGCACCTTTCACATTGGGACATCCTCCCTCCGTGAAAGGCGTTATATAAATGCAATTTGTTGTTGTTAAATTGATGTCATCTCAGTACTGACTGACTAGTAGAATTATTTCTCTCTATTCTCTTTATCAAATCCACTCATAATTTTAAAGACGTCAATCAGGTCACCCCCCTAACCTTCTTTGTTCTCTGAAAAAGTCAAGAGTTCTGCCACTTTTCCCACTGTCCTCTCCAACAATCCCCAGATAAAGTGAATCTGAGGCATTCACTTTACCTGGGGGATTGCTGGCAAGGACAGTGGGAAAAACTTCCAGTTATGCCATGTAGTCTTTGACATCATGACGCAGATGGAACCTCAGTTTT